CTCTTGCTATATGGGGCCAGCACCCTACTTACTGAGCCACAGGCGCTGCCTGAAGTTTAGCGTTTTTATATAATCAAATCTACCCATCTCTGGGGAATAGCAAATATGGAAAAAAAAATATCAAAGTTTCTAAACTATAAGATACTCTTCAAATAAAAAAGATAGGGGGCAGCACCTGTGGCTCAAAGGAGTAGGGTGCCAGCCCCATATGCCAGAGGTGGCGGGTTCAAACCCAGCCCTGGCCAAAAACTGCTAAATAAATAAATAAATAAATATGAAAAAAAAAAGAGATCGGGTTAGGTGCGGTGGCTCACACCTGTAATCCTAGCACTTTGGGAGGCCAAAGAGAGATGATTGCTTGAGGTCAGGAGTTTGAGACCAGCCAAAGCCAAAGCAAGACTGCCTTTACAAAAGAATAGGAAAAAAATTAGCCAGGTAAGACAGGCACATGCCTGTCGTCCCAGGTACTTAGAGGTTGAGGCAGGAGAATTGCTTGAGCACAGGTATTTGAACTAGCAGTGAGCTCTAGCACTGCACTCTAGCCCAGGTGACAGAGTGAGACCCTGTCTCTAAATAAATATATAAGTAAATAAATAGGTAAATAAATAAATAAGATAGATAGATAGATCTATACATACTATCAAGGAAGATTTCTGAGTCACTTTTAAAGTTAAAAGTTTAATTACACTTAGATGAACATCTAAAACTGTATTTTGCTTAAACTAAAGTTACTTATATTTTTAAATTCATAGACATAGTTCTGGAAAGATTTACATCACAGTCCTAATGTCTGTTTCTTCTGGGGAGGGGAACAGCTTTGGAAAGCTCAGGGGGGCTTTGATTTCTCTGCGCACTTCTCTGTTCCAAGGAGAAGCATAGTTGAATGTTCACCAGCATGTATTCCTGTTTTATTTAGATGATATGTTTTGTTTACAATTGGTTTCACTATTTCCAAGCTCAAGTTTAAATTAATGTTCTGCTTTTGATAAACTCTCACATCTGTCCTCCCTCCTTGGCCTCCCAAAGTACTGGAATTACAGGCATGAGACCAGCAGACCTTTTCTGCCACCTACTCTGCTAAGCACAGAAGTTATGGCTCCTAGCTATGCTTATCCTCAGCGTGGTGGCTGATACTATCTGGAGAGGGAATAAGAAATCTCTTATTATTAGACTATTGAGGTTTTCCCCTTTTCTGTGTCTGTTCTCATTTAATGAACAAATGAATGAAGTTGATATACTCACTTTATGAACTAATCACTACCGGATAAGAAAAGCATCTTGATTGTATCTTTGTAATGTTGAGGAACACAACCTTGTGTACAGAAAGAAAGCACATCAGAGAGGGTCCGGTGCAGTGAGGGGAAGTAAGGAGGGGGCAAGAGACAGGAGCTCTCAAGAGGTACCAGGGAGCTTCTGAAGGTGGTAAGTGTTCACCATCTTCATTGTGGTGGTTTCCCCAGTATATATATGGAAAGTGTGTCAAATGATACACTTTAAATATGTGCAGTTTTGTGGTGTATCCAGTAGACCTAAATAAAGCTAATTTTTTAATGTATAAGAACAGACTTTGATAGAATTTGCTTTTGCCTCCTGAAGGCTCAATTTAGTCATGAGCAACCTTCACATCGTCACTGAGAGTTTGCTTACTAAATCATTACAGTTTCTCCAAAAATTTACAAGGAAATATGTGTGTATAAACAAAATGTATTAACTAATAAGTCAGGCTGGCACAGTTTATTTTTTTAATAATTTTTGTTTTATAATATTCTTAGGGATCATTCCATAACAGGCTATAGAATGCCCTCATTTTCTTTTTCACTTTAAAAAAATTTATCATTGGGCTGGGTGCCCATAGTTTAGTGAGTAGGGCGCTGGCCACATACACCGAAGCTGGCAGGTTTGAGCCCAGCCCAAGCCTGCTAAACAACAATGACAACTGCAACCAAAAAAGCCAGATGCTGTGGCAGGTGCCTATAGTCCCAGCTACTTGGGAGGCTGAGGCAAGAGAATCACTTTAGCCCAAGAGTTTGAGGTTGTTGTGAGCTGTGATGCCACAGCACTCTACCAAGGGCGACATAGTGAGACTCTGTCTCAAAAAAGAGAGAAAATTTTATCATTATTATTTTTTAGAAACGGGTCTTGCTATGTTACCCAGCCTGGACTCAGAACTCCTGGGCTTATGTTATCCTCTGGCCTCAGATTTCCAAGTAGCTGAAACCACAAGTGTGCACCACCATGCTGTAAATAGTAGATAAAAGCTTGTTAACTTGTATGTCTAGAAACTTCCAACATACATCATACGTTATCAGTGCAGCATTTCCAATCTTCTCATTAAAGAAAGTCATGGAGATGACAAAGTTATCTAATTGTATTACTATTCTTTTAATATTTAATGAACTTCCTGGCCAGTGAAATAAGACCAGGGTAAAGACAGATATTTTGGAAAGATACGGGAAGCAAAGAGGCCAGCGTGATTATTTATAGACAGTACAAATGCCTACATAGATAATCCAAGGGAAATGACGGGAGAACTATGGGAGAACTCGACATAGTATCCTTAGCTTTCTTCTATTCCAAAATAACTATTTAGAAGACATAGTTGGGAGCAGGGCAAAGAGGACACAACAGCAACAAAAATATATCTACAAAATATTCAGGAACAAACCTAACAAAATTGTGCAAGACTGTGTGAAAAAAACTCTTAAACTGTACATAAGAGAGGGTGAAAGATTCATGTACTGACTGGGAAGATTCAGTGTGGCAAGTATGTTGAAATGGGAGTCCCTGAAACCCTTGGAGAGCAACATGCCACAATCCTTCTACTTCTGGGAAGTAGTTGGATTTTTCTTTTTTTTTTGAGAGTCTCACTCTGTCACCCTGGGTGGAGTGCCGTTATGTCATAGCTGACAGCAACCTTAAACTCTTGGGCTCGAGCAATCCTCTTCCCTCAGCCTTCCAACTAGCTGGAACTACAGGCACCTGCCCCAACACCAGCTAGTTTTTCTATTTTTAGTAGAGACAGGGTCTTGCTCTCGCATAGGCTGGCCTCAAACTCCTGAGCTCAAGGAATCCACCTGCCTCGGCCTCCCAGAGTGCTGGGATTACAGGTGTGAGCCACCATGCCCACACTTTTTTTTTCCTTTGTAATGAAGTGAGTTTCATTAATATCTCTTAGAAAGTAATGATTGCCTAGAGTACCTTTATCTATTCAAACATCTTTGTTTGGTGTTTGGGGATTGTTCTGGCTTTTCCTTGTGCCTCTGTGTCCTGAATGAAGTGAAGTTGTGGTCTGTCTCCATTGCAATGCCACAGGTGAGGGGCAGGTGAGGCCTGGAGTCACTGGAGCCCAGAATTCCTGCCTCAGGGGCATTAAAGGGTTTTAGAACTCTTTCTGCCTTCAAAGGCATCACCCAGGCATGCCCACAACACATGGCTGTGAATTGGGCAAGTGTCTGCCTCCACCTTTTGACCAAGTGAGCTACACCAATTCAGGAACCTTGGACAGCTCAGCCCTGGCTGGGGCACTGTGGGTGGTATCTGGGTGTGAAGGGCATTGTTTTCCTGATTGATGAAGAGACAATAAAACCCTTTGATAGGGGCCAGGCAAGGTGGCTCACACCTGTAATCCCAGCACTTGGGAGGCCGAAGCAGGTGGATTGCCTGAGCTCACAGGTTTGAGACCAGCCTGAGCCAGAGCCAGACCCCCCCACCCCCGCTCTAAAAATAGCCCGGTGAAAAAAGAAAGAAAAATAACCGGGTGTTGTGGCGGGTGCCATAGTCCCAGCTACTCGGGAGGCTGAGGCAAGAGAATTGCTTGAGCCCAAGAGTTTGAAGTTGCTGTGAGCTATGATGCCCTGGCACTCTACCAGAGGTGACAAAGGGAGACTCTGTCTCAAAAAAAAAAAAAAAAGAAAGAAAGAAAGCAAAACCCCTTGAAAGATGTCTTCTCTTGCAGTCCTGAAACTTAGCATGCCAAGCTAAATAAAGGATACCCATAAATCTGTGTATTCAACATAGCCCTAATCAAAATTCCAACTTGTTATTTTTAGACCTTGACAAACTGATTCCAAAATTCAACTGGGGGGAATAAAAATAGGCAAGAGCAGCCCCTCACCTCTAAAAAGAAACTAACAAAAATCTTTCAAGTTAATGAGGAGAAGGTACCCAACATAAAAACATAAGATTAGAATAAAGGACAGCAGCATCCCTGCTTCCCTGCTTGGAATAGAATAATAAATCTAGAATTTAATTCCAAAGTCCTATCTGAGGCTCTTGATTACATCTTTGATATTAGCTTTTAATTAGCTCTATTAAGAATCCAGTGTTAGTCTGAAAAGTAAAACTGGGCTTAGCAAGTTCTTGTTTCTTATTAAGCTGCTCCTGTGTCGGCCTTCAGACGTTCCAGACAACTCAACAGCGGTCAGAGGCTGTGGGGCGCACGTCCACTGTGCCGGGTGGGCAAGGGGACGCCCTGGGCGGGACAGGCCGATCCGGGCAGGCCACCACAGTCGTGGCTGTTCTGCTCGTCTTCCTAGGAGTTATTGAGCAATTACTCTGTGCCAGGAGGGTTCTTGAGGCTATGCCCGGTGGACGGAGTTGGGTAACGTCAGCAAGGTGACCCAGCCAGGAGCGCTGAGCCTCGTTGGTCTGGCCTCCCAGGACCGACCTGGTCTGCTGACCTCTCGTCAGGCGGCCGTGGGGGTTGGGCTGACCTGTCCCCACATCCTCGTCCCGCCCCAGGCCCGGACCTGCAGCGCAGCATGCACGGTCTCCTCGACTGCACCGTGAGGGCCCAGCCTTTGCCCTTGTGTCCCGAGAAGGCATCACAAGGCTTGGCAGATGCTGGACGTTGAGCATTTGATAAATTAATGGATTCTAAGATTCTAAGCCTCAAATTTTACCAGAATTTATGAAAATGACCTGAACTAGATATTCATGGTATCTAAATGATGGAAACCACGGAGTCCCCGGCTTACGTACCCCCTCCTCTCCCGCCACAGCCCATGGGATCCGAGCGGACTGAGACGCGGAAGCGGCCCCCGCCGGCCCCGCAGGAGGCTCCGGACGCCCCCGGCCCGCAGGCAGCGGAGAGTCGAGGGTCCAACGCTTGCTGCTTCTGCTGGTGCTGCTGCTGTAGCTGCTCTTGGTAAGGTCTGGGGCTTTCTTCCTTGCATGGTGCCGGTATATGATTAATTCGGTGTTTTTTGTTGTTTTGGGACTGAGTCTCACTCTGTCCCCTGGGTAGAAAGCCATGGCATCATCACAGCTCCGGCAACCTCAGACTCCTGCGTTCAAGCTAACCTCCTGCCTCAGCCTCTTGAGTAGCTGGGACTACAGGTGCCCTCCACAATGCCAGGCTGGTTTTTCTATTTTTAGAGACAGGGTCTCACTCTTGCTCAGGCTGGTCTCAAACTCCTGAGCTCAAGCAATTCACCTGCCTGGGCCTCTCAGGGTGCCAGGATTATAAGGTGAGCCACTGCACCCGGGCTAATTCAGTGTTCTTCAGAGCAACTCCACTACTCTGTGCCCACACTGTGAGGACACCCTGGCATAGCCAGCCTCTGCCTGGCTTTCAAGTGACTGACACTCAAATCCCTGATACCAGGCAGCATAAGTTAAACCACAAAAGCACAATTTAGGGCAGTTTCTGATTGAATACTCACACTTGGGCAGACACTGCCTGGGTGACCCAACGGGGGGGGGGGCTCTGGGCACCCCTTGGTAATACGGGCTTTGTGGAAGGGTCAGGTCTTAAAGGTTAGGGTGAGGGAATAGACAGAGGCTGGATTTTATTTTCCACTGCTTCTATTTTATTAATGTTGGCTTTTTCAATAAAGGAAAGTGTCTAACTGTGCTTAAATAGAAACATAAAAATACAGGCTAATGTACCACGTAGAGGATGAAAAGAGATGAATGACATAAGTGTAAAACATCCGTGACCATTTGGTCACTGTTAAAAGTCTGGAGGAAAGGATATCATTTATATCTAGAAATCAGGGACGTGGGGCTGCATCTATGAAACCTCGGATATGAAAAGTGCTGCATGCCAGCCAAATTTGTATACCACTTGAGGCAATTAAATTATTGTAAATGTATGTAGGCTTGGCTGTAAGTTAGACCAAGGCTTCACTACCCAGTGCAAAAGGAGAAAAGCGGACATTGGGACCAGTTCCGTGGTTTGGAACTTTTAGAATTGATCTCTGGGGAGGAGGTGGGAGGCCAGAAGAGCAAGCCCAGTGAGGTTTGGTCGGCACCTGCTACACTTAGGCTGGTATTAATTTCCAAGAAGTTGCAGTCTGGCTGAAGGGCAGTGGGCACTCCAAGGATGGATGGGATCCTGACACAGGTGATCTATCCATTCAGGACAGCAGGTGGGAACATGAGGACGTGGGGCTGACAAGCACTGAGCTGCTTGGTGCTCAAGGCCATGCGAGGGAGGCTGGGAGGGAGGCTGAGCAAACACGTTGGTGTCCAGGGCCTGCCCTAGACTGGGAAGACGCTACCAGTGGTGGTGAGACCACATTTGACTCCTTCTCCACACCTCCCTTTGTTAGCAGATCTCAGTGTCCAACTGAGATGATCATCCAAGAGGCATGCACAGGTGTCAGTGTGCAGGTGAGACTCTAGCTGGCACTGGGTGGGGCACAGAGCCTAGGATCCTGGCTGGCACAGCATAGTGTCCTGACAGTGTAAGGCCGGTCAGGTCCCCAAGCAGGCTTCTCCTATTGTTATCATGTAGGATGAATAAAACAAGAATCTATACCTACACATCATCAGCATCATAGCCAATACTTGTTAGCACTTATATTTGTTATATGTAGGTACGTAGGTCACTCTAAAAGTTTTGAGACAGACTTTGTCACGCTTTTATTTCACTTGTAAGCAACACAGTTGACAGGGTCCTTCCTGATCCATCTGTGCAAGTTTCACCTTGCTCGGCTCATCAGCATTGCTGGCAGGGCCTCATTGCTTCTGTCAGGACGGATTTTATGTTACTTGCTTTGTGTGTATCTCAAAACCTTCGTAATGACCCACATATATAAAAGACAGCAGATCAATGTCTTCAAAATACTAGAGAAAGTAACTAAAAAATTAACCAAACTATAATTCAGGAGGGCGAGTAAAATAAGAAATTTTCAGATGTACAAAAGTAGAGAGAGTTTATTACCTACAGACCCTCCCTGAAAGAACTAAGAAAGGCCATAATTCAGGGGGAAAAAGTGAATCCAAAAGAAGGACACCAGGAACAGTTAACAATGGTGGATACAGAAGGGATATGGTATCGCTGTAAAGTGTGCTGTTTAATTTGCTTGCTTTCTTTTTTTTTTTTTTGAGACAGAGTCTCACTATGTCACCCTAGATAGAGTGCTATGGCATCACAGCTCACAGCAACCTCAAACTCTTGGGCTTAAGCGATTTTCTTGCCTCAGCCTCCCAAGTAGCCAGGACTACAGGCACCTGCCACAGTGCCCAGCTATTTTTTGGTTGTAGTTGTCATTGTTGTTTGTCAGGCCCGGGCTGGATTTGAACTTGCCAGCTCTGGTGTATGTGGCTGGCACCCTAGCTGCTGAGCTACAGGCACTGACCACATTTAATTTTCTGTTGAAAAGTATAAAACCTGGCTCGGCGCCTGTGGCTCAAGTGGCTAAGGCGCCAGCCACATACACCTAAGGTGGCAGGTTTGATTCCAGCCCAGGCCCGCCAAACAACAATGATGGCTGCAACCAAAAAATGGCCAGGCGTTGTGGCGGGCACCTGTGGTCCGAGCTACTTGGGAGGCGGAGGCAGGAGACTCACTTGAGCCCAGGAGTTGGAGGTTGCTGTGAGCTGTGATGTCACGGCACTCTACCCAGGGGGATAGCTTGAGGCTCTGTCTCAAAAAAAAAAAAAAAAGGAAAACTATAAAACCAAAGCTATAAACAAATAATTTCGTGTCAGTCATAGATAATTCAAATAACTTCAGACTTTCTTAGAAAAAGTTATAAGAAATTTTTCTTTCAAAATTAATAACATTCATAATTAATCTAAAAATGTAGCATGTAGTTTGACCCTCAATGGAAAACAATAAAAGAAAACCTTGCCAACAGATCACAAAAGTGGCATCAGCAAAGGAGAAAATGAACTATTCAGCAAATACCAGGATACCTGTAAAGTATCCTGAAAAGTCCCCTGAACTACAAGTTCCTGCAAGTCCCAGGCAAGCCAGGAAGGTTGGTCATCCTACCTGGTATCCAACTCTGTAAAAATAGATTTATACTCTTACATTCCACCATGTACAAAAATCAATTCCCACCTTAACAAAATCAAAATCAATTCCAGTAGCTTAAAAACCAATAAGAAAATACAAGATAATATTTCTGTGACCCTGGTGTTGGGAAGAATTACTTCTAAAAAGAAAATGCTAAATCCATAAAAGGAAAAAATTCATAACTATCTTCATTAAGTATAAAAATGTATTTAACAAGAGGACTAAAGATGTGTTCCCACAAAGACTTGTATGTGACTATTCACAGCAACATGATTCCTAACAGCTAAATGGTGGAAACAGTGCAAGTGCCTATTAACTGATGAATGGATTTAAAAATATGGTCTGTCCCTACAGTGGAACACTATTAGGCCAGAAAAATGAAGTATTGATACAGCCAACAGATAGGATGAGCTGTAAAAACATGCTTAGTGGAAGAAGCCAGATACTCAAGACCACATATTTTATGATTCTATTTATATGAAATGCTGAGGATATGTAAATCCATGGAGACAGAAAGAAGATTAGAGGTCGCCTAGAAACGGGGGAGATAGGAGTGCCTGCTAATGTGTGTGGAGTTTTGGTTTGGTTTGGTTTGGTTTTTGGTGGGGGCTGGTGAATGGTCTAATCATGACAAAGGTTGTATAACTCTGTAAATGTACTAAAAACTATGGAATTCTACTGTGTACATCAGAAAATTGTGTGGTGTTATCTTAATAAAGCTATTTTTGAATGTGTGTAACAAAAACTACCAAAAATAAAATGAAAAGAACATACTGAGAGAAGTGAGTTATAATACATTGCACAAAGAATTCATATCCAGAATATAAAAATGCCAAGAGATCAATGGGGAAGAAATGGCCAGAAGGAAAGTAAACAAGTGAAGGAAAACAGAAAACAGCATATTTCTGCTCCCAGTAATAAGGATCAGATAAAGGAAAGTTAAATATATACCCACCCTTCCTAGACCGGGAGCGGTGGCTCATGCCTGTAATCCTAGTATTCTGGGAGGTGGAGGCTGGTGGATTGCCTGAACTCATGAGTTCAAGAGCAGCCTGAGCAAGGGTGAGATCAGACATAGTGTTGGGTGTCTGTAGTTCCAGTTACTCCAGAGGCTGATGCAAAAGAATCACTTGAGCCCAAGAATTTGAGGTTGCTGTGAGCTATGACATCAGGGCACTCTACAAGGGCGACAAAGTGAGACTCTGTGTCAAAAAAGAAAATATATAAATATACCCTTCTAAACATACAGGATGTCCATAAAGTTATGGCCACCTGGTATAACTAGAAAAACCTATACCCTACAAAAGGAAGTGTGTTTGCAAAGATTTACTGTGCCATTAATCCCAGTGATAAAAACTGAAAATGGTTCTAAAGTTCACAAACAAGAGAATAGATGAATCCTACAATGCATATCATACGGAATTTAAATTCATATGCTGGAAAATAGTCAATTCACATGCTAGAGAAAAATTATAAAGCAATACATATCACGTAATAACATTTGCACAAAGTTGAAGAATATATATGAACATTTATGGTAACATAACTACAGATGGGATGGGAAACAACAGGTTAAGGATGGTTGTTATTTGGAGGGGAGAGAGAGGGTGAAATGGGACGGGGGGAAGTAATAGCTAATTTCAACTGTTTTAATATTTACTGTCCTCTATTTTGTCCTCAGCATTCCTTTTGAGGTTTTTCCATAGTAATACAGAGTCGAGTCAATTTTCAAGAAAGGCAAAGGGTCATATGTTTTCTAAGCCCTTGTGATACCTTTCTCAAAATTCTGCTGTATGGCCTTCTGGTATTTGGTGTGATAATGGAAGGCATACGATTCTTGTTCTCTTGAAAATAAACTTGTTTCCTTTCTAAAAGGTTGAAGAAGTTTTTCCTCTTTACCACTCAAAATGTTGCCAAAACGTATTCAAGCATGGGTCTTCTTTCTGAATACTCCTACATATTGGATTTAGGTGAGCACCTATCCTTGTGGCCTCCACCACCATGTTCTCTTTCTTCTGTGGTAATAACAATAGACATAGGGAAAGAAATGGCAAAAAGTATATTCTTCACTTTTTCAAAAGCACAGTGTCTCCTTAAAAAGTATTCCTACTTAAAATGAGGCAGAAAATATGTCAAAGCTTAAATAATGTTGCATTCTTTGGTTCATAGTATAGTGTCTAATTCTCTGCAGAACCTTGTGCAGAATTCGTTGTTTTTCCCTCATGGTACCCACTGTGCAATGATGTGCTCTGCTTACAAAAGCAGCCTCAGAAGTCAGGCTGCGATAACACTCACGCAGAGAGAATACCGCCAGATGCCTCTCAAGCTTTCTTTTAAAAGAAACCATTATTTACTGAAACTTTTCAGTCCTGGCATCATGAAAGAAACAAGTCAAAAGGATTTGTAATGGCTCTGCTTGGCTTTAAAGAGAAATAGACCTACACACACATACACAGAGTAAATTTACAAAGCAGATAGGCTGAAAATAAGCTGAAAGACTTTTATAAAATGGAGTGATGAATGTCAAAGAAAAATATAGTAAAAGGAACAGAAAATTTAATACAGCTGGGAACAGTGCTTCATGCCTATAATCCCAGCACTTTAGAAGGCCAAGGCAGGAGAATCACTTGAAGCCTAGATTCAAGAACAGCCTGGACAACACAGGAAGTCAAAACTCCCATCTTTTCAAAGAAATTAAAATTAGGCAGAATGATGTCACATGCCTGTAGTCCAGGGAGGCTGAGGTACAAGGGTCACTTGAAGCCTGGAGCTCAGGATGCCTATATTCTTAGCTACTCTGGAGGCTAAAGTGGGAGGATCCCTTGAGCCCAAGAGTTCAAGGCTCCAGTGAGCTGTGATCAGCCACTGTACTCGAGCCTGGGCAACAGAGCAAGACCCTGTCTCTAAAAAAATAAAAATAAATTGATTTAGAAATAGTTAAAAGATTTGAATAGACATGTCTCCAGAGGAGATGTACAAATAGCTAATAAATACCTGAAAAGATGCTCCACATCATTAGTCATTAGTAAAACGCTAATCAAAACCATGATGAGGTACCACTTCACACCCACTCAGGAGGCTGGAAGCAAAGAGATAATAACAACTGTTGGAGGGATATGGAAGCACTGGACCTCTCAGATATTGCTGGTGGGAATGTAAAATGGTGCAGCTGTTTTGGAAAACAGTTTGAGACTTCCTCAAAATGTTAAAAAGAAAAAAAATAAACTAAAGTTACATATGACTCAGCAGTTTCACTCGTGAGCATCAGCCCAAGAGAAACAAATACATGTGTGTTCATACACACTCGCAAGTGACTGTGCACAGCAGCACGATTCAGACAGCCGAAGTGTGGAAACAACCCAGTGTCTCTCCACTGCAGAACGGGTAAACAAAATGGGACGGGCATATCCGTACCAAGGGGTTAATCAGCTAGAAACAAGAATGAAATATTGGTACCTGCTACAACATGAATTAACTGCAAAAACATTATGGCAAGTGAAAGGAGCCGGCTGTCAAAGATCACATGTTGTCTGACTCAGGAGGCAAATCTGTAGAGACAGGAAGTAGATTAGCACTTGCCTCCGGCTGAAGATATCACAGGGAGTGACTGCTACTGTTACCAGAATTTCCTCTTCAGTAGGTCCTTGGTCTCCCAGATTCAAAGAATGAATCCACCCACAGATCAGTGGTAAGACAGGGATTTTTTTTTTTTTTTTGAGACAGAGTCTCACTTTGTCATCCTTGGTAGAGTGCCATGGTGTCACGGCTCACAGCAACCTCAAACTCTTGGACTCAAGTCATCCTCTTGCCTCAGCCTGCCAAGTAGCTGGGACTACAGGTGGCTGCCACAACACCTGGCTATTTTTTTGTTATTGTTATTGTTTGGCAGGCCCTGGCTGGGTTCAAACCCACCAGCCCCAGTGCATGTGGCTGTGCCCTAACCACTGAACTACAGGCTCTGACCCAGACAGGATTTATTTTACAGAAAAAGTACCAGAGTTTCTGGCAGAAGGATAAACCCAAGTCTAGGGAAAAAAATCTCTCTCTGGGTCCTATAGGGATATATGTGTATACATATAGCCTAACAAATAAATGGATACAATCCCTGGTGCAGGCAAAATGTCTGTGCCTTCCCAGGCCTAGGAAACTTAACATGAAATTGAGCAGGCCTTGGAAATGAGGGGCTTCCCTGTTCAACCATAGAAGGGGCAGCAGGTCCTCCTGTGAGCTCCGGCCAGGCTGCCATGGCCACCACTGCTCTGTATCACTACCAGGTATAGGGTTTCTTTGGGGAGTGATGAAAATAGTAGTGATGGTTGCAGGTTTTTTTTTTGTTTGTTTGTTTGTTTGTTTGTTTGTTTTGGCTGGGGCTGGGTATGAACCCACCACCTCTGGCATATGGGGCCAGCGCCCTACTCCTTTGAGCCACAGGCGCCGCCCAATGGTTGCAGAATTTTGTGAGTATACTACAAAACTACAAGTGATAGATCAATAAAGCTATTAAGAAATTAAGAAGTGGCCAGGTGTAGTGGCTCACACCTATAATTCTAGCACTCTGGGAGGTAGAGATCACCTCAGCTCAGGAGTTCAAGACCAGCCTGAGCAACAGCAAGACCCTGTCTCTACTAAAAAATAGAAAAACTAGCAGGGCATTGTGGCAGGTACCTATAGTTCCAGCTACTCAGGAGACTGAGGCAAGAGGATGGCTCGAACCCAAAGGTTTGAGGTTGCTGTGACCTATTATGCCATAGAACTCTACCCAAGGCGACAGAGTGAGACTCTGTCTCAAAAAAAAATATTAGTAGCCTTCACATGTACACACAATAAGCAGCTAGAAAAGGATATGGGAGCAAACTTTCATTTACAGTAATAACAAACATACCTGAAATGGGCCGACAGAGAAATGTTCAAAATGTATATAAGGAAACTCAAACTCTCTTATAAAATACAATAGTAGATTTTGATTGTGCACTTTCCTGGTTTTCTCTAAAATTTTTGTATATATGCCTATAAATATATAAAGCCTCCATTTTGACTAGAAATGAAGCCTGAAAGATGTATACTATTTTTTTGTAAGGTGCAGAAAATGAAATGAAAACCCAAAACATCCCTGAAAGTCTTACTTTTTTTTTCTTGTTGTTTGTTTGTTTTGCAATTTTTGGTGAGGACCAGGTTTAAACCCACCACCTCTGGTACACGGGGCCAGCACCCTACTCCTTGAGCCACAGGCACCACCAGACAGTCTTACCTTTTTACTTTGTTTTATTGAGTCTGTATTTATAAAAAGAATGATTATTCTAAGTGTAATTGAGTATAATACTCTGTAATAATTTCTTCCTCAGTTAGTATAGACTATAGTATTATAAAATAGATATAATTAATTTTTCTAATACCTTACTGTCATACTTTTGGTTTTCTTAAGAAAACCAATCAGGAGTGGCACCTATGGCTCAGTGAGTAGGGCACTAGCCCCATATACCAAGGGTGGCAGATTCGAACCCACCCGCAGCCAGACTGCAATAAAAAAAAAGCTGGGCACTGTGGCAGGCACTTGTGGTCCCAGCTACTTGGGAGGCTGAGGCAAGAGAATTGGTTAAAACCAAGAGCTGGAGGTTGCTGTGAGCTGTGATGCCATGACACTCTACCCAGGGTGACATAGTGAGACTCTGTCTCTTAAAAAAAAAGAGAGAAAAAGACAACCAGGGTCACTTCTTTTTTTAAGAAGAGAAAAAAAATTCAATTTGGGGATCTGAAGTTCTCTTCAAAATACTTGTAAAAAATCTTTCGGTGACAGAGACAGCTCAGTCAACAAGTGAATGTCTTGTTTTTTGCAGTCTCACTGTTAGGAACCAAGATCAGAGATCCACTAGAGCTTCCCATGAACTCAGAACAGACCAGCTTCCAACCTGTGAAGAAAGGTAAAATCTCAAGTTTTTTAGCTTACTAAACTAAGAAATATCAACTGTTTTCTTTTCTTTTCTTTGCATTTTATGTTTCAGTAGAGAACACACAATTTCTTTTTTTTGCAGTTTTTGGCCAGGGTCAGGTTTGAACCCGCCACCTCCAGTATATGGAGCAGGCGCCCTACTCCTTTGAGCCACAGGTGCTGCCCATGAGAGCACAAAATTTCTTTAATTGCAAGTCAGTAACCTCACATCATAATGTGGCATCCCGTCTTCCCCAGCAGAACTCCTGGTAATTCATTATGTTCCATCCATATGTCCATTATGAGACAAATCAGTTCCATCATTGTCCCCTCGCTACTCACAAAGACAAATTGGTGCTTCTTGACAGAACATGTGTGTGTGTGTTTTTTTTGTATAATATACTTTTAAAAATAAAAGACTATAATGAAATATACACATTTGGTGTGGGGAAAAGTTTAAGATACTCTCATTTCCTTAACTGTAGACTTATACTAAATGGCTAATGTTTTGTTTTTTTAAGGCTAAGTATTTTGGAAAATAATACATAAGTTAGTTCTTACATAAATGCCAAATTAAATTTTTTTCTTTCCATATTATCAATTGGTTACTTTCCGTCAGCTTTCTTATGCCTGTTATTAATATTGTGTCTTTATACTTGCAGATGTTAGACTGCAAAAATATCCTCAGAACATTATTCAAATAGGTTTTATATTAAATTGCTGCTTTTTGAGAGAAAAAAAAACTAGGAGTGTAAAAGTTCAGTTAAATATGCTGCACATTCTTTATCTTATTTATCCTTGCCCCGGTTTTTTTCCTTTAAATACAAACAACATGTTGAAATTTTTAATACGTGAGTTTGTCCTAATTAGAGCCCCGTGTACAGGGGCGTGTGCCCAGGCTCTGAGAGCGTCCCCGTCTGCAGTCAGAGCTTGGCACCTCATCCTGCCTCTCCCGTCCCGCCTGAGCGACCTCAAGTACTGTACTTAGTAGCCACCACCTTCTGCCTCATTTTCCTTACGTGTCAAGTGTGGAATGACTGTAGTTTGCTGGGGGTGAGCCAGTGAAAGGCTATTGTGAATACTGAGTAAGACAAGTAAGTAAAGCACTTAGAACAGAGCTCAGTACATGTGGGGCCTTCAGTGTTCTCCGCTGTATCCAATGATATAAAATCACTCTTTATCAACTTCACTGTCCTTTGCTTGTGCTACTACTTAGATACTAATATTATACTTGCATTTGCCCCATTTATCTTGTTTGTCTATTTGTTTCTAACTTTTTGGTAAAAATAGCCTTTTTTTGGATTTTGCTTTTTTGGCCTAGTTGGAGTCCCTGGGAGGGTTTTGGGGGGGGGGAGTTGTGTGTTTGTTTTGTCTTTGTTTTGCTTGGTTTCTTGACACAGAGTCTCACTCTGTCATCTGGGCTACAATGTAGTGCCATCAGCCTAGCTCACATCAACCTCAAACTCCTGGGCTCAAGCCATCCTCCTGCCTCAGCCTCCCAAGTAGCTGGGACTACAGGCACTCACCACAAAACCCAGCTAGTTTTTCTGTTTTTCAAACTAACAGACTCAATATAACTATATTCTAATGCTCTATTTAAAAGAGATGGGGTCTTATTCTTACTTGAGCTGGTCTTGAACTTCTGAGCTTAAGCAATTCCCCTGCCTCAGCCACCCAAGAGTGCTAGGATTACAGGCGTGAGCCACCATGCCCAGTGTGAAGTTTCTGTTTTTATTTTATTTATTTATTTATTTTTAGAGACACAGTCTCACTTTGTCACCCGCAGTAGAGTGCTGTGGAGTCACAGCAACCTCCAGCTCTTAGGCTTAGGCGATTCTCTTGCCTCAGCCTCCCAAGTAGCTGGGACTACAGGTGCCTGCCACAACGCCTGGCTATTTTCTTGTTGCAGTTTGGCCGGGGCCAGGTTTAAACCCACCACTCTCCGTATATGGGGTCGGCACCCTGCCCACTAAGCCACAGGTGCCGCCCAAGTTTCTGTTTTTAAATAGAGCATTAGAATGTGGTTATACTGAGTCAGTTATTTTGATCATTACTACTACGATTGATCTTCTAGCAAATTCTTTGGTTGTCTTCTTATAATACTTTCAATTATTTCCTTATTTTTTTCAGTGAACTAACATATTTCTTTGTTTTTATGTTCTTCAGTAATAAGGAATATATGTATGATTTCTCTTTCTAAAGCAAAATTCTACTACTGATTGCCTTTACATTGTGCAGAATCATTCTTTAATATATAGTGTGTTTCTTGGGCTGGGCATAGTGGTTCACAGTGGTTAATCCTAACATTTTGTGAGGTGGAGGTGAGAGGATCACTTGAGGCCAAGAGTTCTAGACCACCCAGAGCAACATATCAAGAACTACTCTTCTCTACAAAAAATGAAGTAATTATATGGGTGTGATGGCACACAGGGGCTATAGTACCAGCCATTCTGGAGCAATGACAGGAGGATGGTTTGAGGCCAGGAGCTCAGGGCTGCAGTGAGCTATGATGATGCCACTGCACTCTAGTCTGAGTGATAGAGTGACACCCTGTAAAACATATTCGAACAATGCTTTTAGGATATTTGTCTAATGTCTGCAAAAACAGATATAAATGTTTAAGTATATATGTATATTTTAAATCAATAGGACTAAAATTATATCATATGTATATATATATATATATATATAAAATTTTGAGAAAGAGTTTCACTGTCACCCTCAGTAGAGTGCTATGGCATCACAGCTCACACAACCTCAAACTCTTGGGCTTAAGTGCTTCTCTTGCCTTAGCTTCCCAAGTATCTGGGACTACAGGTACCCACCACAACCCCTAGCTATATTTTAGAGACGGGGTCTCACTCTTGCTCAGCTGGTCTGCAGCTTGTGAGCTCAGGTAATCCATCCACCTCCACCTCCCAAGTGCTAGGATTACAGGTGTGAGCCACCATGCCTAGCCTAAAATTAAATTTTTTTAATCTACATATTTAAGAAACATAATTTAGCATACTTTACACTTTCTAATCTAATTTTTTATTTAAATGATCCAGGATTCATATGTAGAGTACTTTAAATTGTTATTTTAAAAGTATACATCTTTTCATTCAAAAATACTTTTTCCAGAGTTATGATGGGTACTTTATTTTTCTATGTGTAATACTTTTTTATGATGAAGAATACATATGCCCATGACAAAAATGAAAATCAAATGTGGTAGAGACAAGCCCAAATAATGTCAAAGAATAGAAACAAAAAGGGGGTAAAATTAAAGAGAAAATGTACGCCAGACAGATGATTTTAGTGGCTAAAATCGTTATAATTGACACATAGTATCGTGTGCCAAGAACTATATGAGTGCTTTACAAATATTGACTTATTTAATCTTCACAACTCTATGCAGTAGATATTGTTATCTCAGAGATAAGTAATGTGCTCACAGTTTCAAAGTTAGTAAAGCCTAGCACCCATAGCCAGGCAAACTGTTCTTTGCACAAGGGCACCTGCCCAGGGGAACACAAGTTAGCTCAGACAAAGCCGGCATCCCTGGCCAGCTGTGTACCTTGAAGCAGTCCTACCCAGCAAAGAGACACCTTTTCCTAATTGACACAGAGGTGTCCTAGGAGCTGGGCTGGTGGCAGCCTTGCAGGAATGGTGGTGCTGAGATTTGCATTCAGGCAGTCTGACCTCCAAGGCTGATTTTGTCCACTATTCTATACTTTTTCCACAAATTAACATCAAACAAAGTAGTATCTAAAAAGTTTTAAAGGCACTTTAGGGATAGAGAGACTCACTACTAAAACATTTAAGGATATAGTTCAGTGAGAAGGCGTAACAACTTCCCTGGTTCTAAAACATAAAAAGCAAAAATTGCTAGAGCAGGAAATTTACAAATCTGCTACAACAGCGGGAGGTTTCCGCACTTGTTTCCTACTTATGGATATTTCTTTTTTTTTTAGAGACAGAGTCTCACTTTATCGCCTTCAATAGAGTGCTGTGTCATCACAGCTCACAGCAACCTTCAATTCCTGGGCTTAGGCGATTCTCTTGCCTCAGCCTCCCAAATAGCTGGGACTACAGGCGCCCACCAGAACACCCGCTATTTGTTGTTATTGTTGTTGTTGTTGCAGTTTGGCCAGGGCCAGGTTCGAACCCCCCACCCACCGGTGCCCTACCCACTGAGCCACTGGTGCTGCCCACTTATGGATATTTCTAAGGGATAGAAATTTAAAGCAAATTGTAAATTTTTTTTTTTTTTTGCAATTTTTGGCTGGGGCCAGGTTTGAACCCATCACCTCCAGTACATGGGACAGGACCGGTGCCCTACTCCTTTGAGCCACAGGTGCCGCCCAAATTGTAAAATTTTTTTAAAAATGAAATTAACAAGCAACATTTATTGTTCATGTATAAAAGCCTTCCCCGACTATTTGAAAATACATATTCTTTTCAAGCAAACATGAAACATTTATAATAATTGACCCATAATTAAAATGTCTCAAATAGATTTCAAAGTGCATTATTAAGCAGACTACTCTTTGACCCCAATAAAATTAAAATAGAAGTTAGGAATAAAAAAACAAAGATCCTCATATGTTTGATACTTTTAAAATCTCTTCCATGTAAACTCCCAAATCAAAGAATAAATGATAATAAAGTTTTTTTAACTAATAACTAATCTACATGAAAGTCTGACATATCAACCTGTGGGATGCATGTAAAGCAGTAATAGGAAAAAATATATATTTATACATATGTACATATGTATATCCCTAAATTTTTATATCAGAAGAGAGGCTGGCCACTAATGAGCTAAGGGTCCAACTTAATATTAAGCACAAAAATGTCAAATGAGGGAGACGTTAATATATAAGTGCAATAATAAATAAAATAGAAAACAGAGACATGGTGGAGGTCGAACAAAAGCTAATTCTTTAAAAAGACACAGAATAGACATTCTCTGCCATGACTGCTCAAAAAAATAAAGAGAAGGCACAATGAAATAATATTAAGAAAGAAAACAAAACAGATAATCCAGCAGAGATCAATAGTGTGGTATACTAGGAGTAAGTTATGTCAAGGAACTTGATAATTTACACACCCTGAACAAATTTCTAAATAGGGGAATGTTACTAAAACAGAATCAGGAAGAAATAAAGGGTCAGAGTGATCCTGTGACTATTAAACTATGTCAGTAATTAATAACTTTCTATATTGGTTTGCTAGGACTGCCGTACACAAAGTACCAAAACAACAGAAATGTACTCCCTTATTGTTCTTGAGGTCAGAGTCCAAAGACAAGATGTCAGGCTTTCTCTGCAGTCTGGAGTGCTGGGAGCCCCTTCCCACCTCGTTCCAGCTTCTGTGGGTCGCCGCCAATCTGTGGCATTCCCAGGCTTGCTGCTCTAGTCACATCATCATCTTCTCTGTGGGTCTCCATGTCACTTACTTCTGTGTCCAGATTCCTCCTCCTTAGAGGACTCCTGTCATCTTGGATTAAGTCTCACCCCAATGACCTCATCTTAACTTGGATAAATCTGCCAAGATTTTATTTCCAAATAATGTCACCTTCTGAGGAATTGAGGGTAGAACTTCCACATATCTTTGTAGAGGGACACCCATGACATCTTCCTGCAGAATAAACACTGAACCCAGATGGCCTTACAGGCCAGTTCCACAAAACATTCCAGGACTAGCTCCTTCCAAGCTTATACAACTTTTGCATAATTGCCCAAATATCCAAGAGGCCAATGTAATAGTGATACCAAAACCTAATAAGAAGAAGAGAAGAATGGAAAGTTAGGGATGAATCCTACTTAGGGACTCTAGCCAGGTACAACAACATGAGTGAAACTTAGGAACTTATTGTTGGGCAAAAAAAGCAAGTAGAAAACATGCATAGTAAGCCATTTTTCTCAAGTTTTTCTTAAAAAACTAAAGAATACATTTTTCAGGCCTGGTACAGTGGCTGGTGATTCATGCCTATAATCTTAGCACTTTGGGAAGCTAAGACCAGAAGATTGCTTGAGCCCAGGAGTTTGAGGCTGCAGTGCCACTACACTCCAGAAAAAACATTCCTCAGGGTTACATAAGTACATTAAAAACCATGAAAAACAATAGAGAAAATAGATATTAAAGTTCATTGTTGGCTGGGCAAGGGGCTCACATTGTAATCCTAGCACTCTGGAAGGCCAAGGCAGGAGGATTGCTTGAGGCCAGAAGTTTAAGAACAGCCTAAGCAAGAACAAGACCCTGTCTCTACTAAAGAAACAAAAAATTAGCTAGGCTTGATGGCCCACCTATAAAACCAGCTACTAGGGAAGCTGAGGCAGGAGGATCACCTGAGCCCCAGAGTTTGAGGCTGTAGTGAACTAGGCTTACACCACAGCACTCTATTTAGCCTAGGCAACAAGTGAGACTCTGTCTCAAAAAAAAAGGATGTTTCATTGTTAAACAGACTGTGCCTTCTGACCTCAGTGCAATTAAAATAAAAGTAAAAATTAACTCAAAAAGAGTGAACCCAAAATCAAGTACAGCAGTTCTTAAAGGCAGCTTTGTCAGTGACCTCCATCGTAAGGTAAAATGGTGCATTCATAAGTGTTCATTTTCCTGTCACCGTTCATAACTTACACATATACATGGGTCACTACTAAAGTTTTGAGAATACACAGAAATCAAGAATCATAAAATCTAGGTGTGCAGAAACGAAGCCCTCCCAGCAACACCAATAATCGGAGCAAGTTGAAACTTGCACAGATGACTCAGAAAGGATGCTGTGGACTTAAACATAAAATAATGGGCAGTAATACAGTCTGTCTCAACACTTTCATAGTGACCCAAGTATTACAAATATTCCTTTATCTTTCTCAAATATCACTAAAATTTGAAAATATGTTAAATAGACACTTGCAGCTAGGCACAGAGGCTCGTGTCTTTAATCCTAGCATCTTGGGAGGCTGAGGGGGGAGGACCACTTGAGGCCAGGCATTGAAGGCTACAGTGAGCTATGAAGATGCCACTGCACTCCAGGCTGGTGACAGAGCGAGACCTTAATGATGCCTTGCAGTTTATTGTCATCAAATCTGACTTAATTCTGTCCTTGGTAGATTAGGAAATTTCTGGTCAAATGCTAGTAGGATTTTTCTTTACTTTTAACAATTTAAAAAATATTGCAATATGTGTCCACCTATAAACAAATATGTTCTTAGCAGTTATCCTAGCAGCTTGGTTTGCAAGCAATTTGGCTGTAGCCACTCAATCCAGATAAACAATTTGGAAGTATTATACTCACATGGGCTCTTACCAAAGGCTTGAGGAAATGAGAACACCTCCTTCCCTTCCTAAATGCATACATTTTTCATTCTTGGAGGACTAAAGACCCATTTCTAGCAATGAAATTCAAATTGACTTCCAATAACAATTCCCTTTTGCCCCCTCTCTTTTGGTCTCCATGAAGCCCAACCCCTACTCTGGAGGAAGTCCACGCCTGGGCTCAGTCCTTCGACAAACTGATGATCACTCCAGCAGGAAGAAATGCTTTCCGAGAATTCCTCCGAACAGAATTCAGTGAAGAAAATATGCTTTTCTGGATGGCCTGTGAGGAACTGAAAAAAGAAGCTAATAAAAACATGATTGAAGAGAAGGCCAGGATGATATATGACGACTACATTTCGATTCTTTCTCCTAAAGAGGTAGGTGACAGTGAAAAGGCTTCCTCCCAGGAAGCCGTTCAGTAGAACTAACCCTGTCTGTGTCTGGGCGTGTTCACCTTGCACACTAACTGCTACTCTAACACGTAGAAATCAGCTCTGTCCACATTACCAGTACCCAAATTCCCTTGACTTGCTCCAAGTGCCCCTGAAATTTGTGGAAAATGTTGTGCATTTTTCTGAACAAAGTGTCTGTAACTTTTATCAGATTCTCTAAAAGAGAGAGTCTGTACATCTCCTGTTTACAATATTGCACCCTAGAGACATTCCTTGAAATCAAATTATCATGTTATTCTGAGCGAAATCTTTTCTACAGGTATCTTTATCATAGCACTGATAAGATACTGATGCTGCAAAGATTTTCCCCAGAATATCCTTTTGTTTGATCAGAGAAATTGTCATATGATTTGGTTTTTGTTGTTGTTTTTTCTGACACATAGTCTTGTTCTGTCACCCAGGCTTGAGTGCAGCGGCCCAATCGTAGCTCACTGCAGCCTCCAACTCCTGGGCTTAAGTGATCGTCCTACCCACCCATCCCAGCCTTTCGAGTAGCTGGGACTACAGGTGTGCACCACCATACCTGGCTAATTTTTCTTATTTTTTTATAGAGATGAGGGAGGTTTTGCTATGTTGCCCAGGCTGGTCTTCAACTTCTGGCCTCAAGTGATCCTCCCACCTCAGCCTCCCAAAGTGCTAAGATTATAGGCTTAAGCTATCAGGCCTAGCCTCTCAGAGGTTTTAGTTTCTTCAAATCTAAAATTTAGGAGGTTACTGAGGCAGGTGGATTGCCTGAGCTCAGGAGTTCAAGAGCAGCCTGAGCAAGAGTTTGAGACCCCTAGCTCTAAAAAAAAAAAGAATCGTGTATTGTGACAGATGCCTGTAGTCCCAGCTACTCTGGAGGCTGAGGGAAGAGGATCAGTTGAGCCCAAGAGTTTGAGGTGGCTGTCTGAACTATGATGCCATAGCACTCTACCATCAGCAACAAAGTGAGATTCTGCCTCAAAATATATATATATAGGTTAGATTGTTCTCACAATTAGGTGCTTTGACGCTCTAATTCAGTGGTTCTCAGCCTTCCTAATGCCACAACCCTTTAATACAATTCCTGTGGGTCACAACCCACAGGTTGAGAACCGCTGCTCTAATTATAACATCATTTGTTATTTCCTACTATGTGCCAATAAGAATGTAAGGTTGATAAAGCAGGGCCTCTGCTGTCAAGGAGCTCCCAAGGAAGTGGACAGACACTGGGGACACAGCTCAGTGTTCACAGGGACTGGGGGGTGGGACAAGAATGGGCTGGAGATACTCACAGAGGCTGTAGATCAGCAGTTCTCAACCTGTGGGTCATGACCCCTTTGAGCTTGCCTAATATCAGATATTTACATTACAGTTCATAAAAGTAGCAAAAATCACAGTTATGAAGTAGGAACAAAAATAATTTTATGGTTGGGGGTCACCACAACATAAGGGACTATATTAAAGGGTCGCACCATCAGGAAGGTTGAGAACCACTGCTGTAGATAGACTGAGGATAATGAAATGGACGTGACCAGAAACAGAACAGGATGAGGACGTCCCAGGGAATAGGACGAGCTGACCCAAGAAGAAAAGCTGAGCCTGTGTGGCAGGTTGAGCACAGAGTTTGGTGTGCAGGGTGCACGCTGCTCACCCAGCTGGGGGAGATTGAGAAATGGGATACTCCAAGAGCATGGGGAGATTGAGGTGCCAGGCTGAGGAGTTCAGATTTTTATCCTGGGAAACTCTTGGCTTTTACACTGGTGATATCACTAAATTTGGATTTCGAGATGACCAGCATGGCTACAGAAAGGAGTGGGAGCAGCTTAGAAGCAGAGGAGTTAGAGGACTAATTCAGGAGTCTACACCAGGACATGAGGGCCTCACTAGGCCAGCTGAAGAGATGAGGGAGGGAAGAGTTAAGGTGAACCGCAGAGTCTCAAATACGTCCCACATGTCTGGTTTAGGCAGACTGAAGGTCTGATGGTCGACTGCCTTAAGTTTGCATTGGTCCCTGGAGAAACTCAGTTCACAGGTTTAAATAAGAGTTCAGAAAGTTAATTTCATTTTGGATTAATAAGAAACAAAAAAATTTTTGTCCTTTAATTTATGACGTCCACATATCTTTATTTTGTTATGATTTTCCTTTTGTTTTGACACAGGGTCTTGTTATGTTGGATTTTTCTTTTACTAAGGCAAGATTTTTCATCATTGTCTTTTAAGGCATTACATGTGTACAACCCAAAAAAACTTAGCAAATTTACAAAGGAAAAACAATATAAGATGACCCTTTTCTCCCAGACATGAACATTTAGCATTTGAAATGTAAAAGCTTGAAAACGTTTAAGAGCACGGATGCAGGGGTCAGCTTAGGCTGGAACCTCAGCTCTCCCTGACCAGGTGTTTCTCTCACCCTTTGTGCAGCTGTGCACAAAGGGGACATCACACCTGTCAGCTGGGATGGGGCAGGAGGAAAGGTTAGTCGAGATGAGAGAACAGGACAAGATGGTTCTAGCTCCTTCTTTCTTTAATTTCAAGTGGAAGAGAGAAGTAGAGCTGGGAATCAGTAGCAGTAGAAGCTCAAGCTTTGGACTTGATCTTCAGAGCACCAATGAGCCAGTGCACGCTGTAGGGCTGGAGCGTCGGGTTGGGGTTTGCACTTCAGAAAGAGCCCCAGGTTGGACGCGTAGCAGGGCTTGCCGAAGCCCTAGACTGACTCCAGGAGACCAGGTAGGAGGCAGCTGACAGGTGCAGCAGGAAATGGTCATGGCAGAGAGGAGGGAGGAGCTGGACAGATTCCCGAGTGTTAAAGAGGTAGGGTCAGCAGGACTCAGTGACTCAATATAGAGCCAGAGGGCAAGTTAAAGGGCAAGCGGGACTTTGAATTGCATGGGCACAAGTAGCTTCATTTTTTCACAAGCTACACAAGGAAGAGACCTGGAGATGCTGGGAGTCTGTTTTGAATGTATTGACTTGAAGTGCCCCTGTGGACAGGAAAGAGGGGCTCTTCAGGAGGAAGGTGGTTGGATGCACCTGGACAGGTGGATCCCTGAAGTCAATATTTAATGATTTAGCTAACCATATTTTCAGTGTTACACTAGTGGCATATACACTGCCTGGCAATAGGACTGCCCTAGCCAGCGGGTGCAGATGTGGTCCAGCTGATGCTCTTTACACAGAAGAGATGCATGGGTTCATCTCTGCAGCTTTGACCTGGACTCCTATTGGTCTGTGGTCCTGTAGGAAAAGTCTGAGCCCAGTAGTTTACTGGGGTCTGTGAGACAATCTTGCCTCGGATGACTAAAGCATCAGAGCAGCAATAGCCAGCTTCTGCTAGGGGCTTAGTAGATTCCAAGTGCTTTAAGTGAATTCTCGTTATATCACCAAATTCTGGAAACTACTGTCATTCTCATTGCCATCCACTTTAAGAGACACTGAGTTTATCTTGCCCAAGACCCCACAGCTGAGCAGTGACAGAGCTGGGATTTAAACACAGGCCCCCAGTCCCTGTGATTTAAGCTGTCCGGGGTGCTTGAGTCAGCTTCCACTTCCACCCCGTGCCCACCCCCACCAGTGGCCTGTCACTCTCTTCCAGAAATCTGCTCCCGTGTCCAGCTGGACAGAAGCATGGGGCCTCCAGGTTCCAGGCCTCATGGTATTAGTAAAAAGCAAGGAATGACTGCACACATCACCTTTTTTCTTCAGAAGACGTAGTACACTCCTTTTAAAGAAGCAAAACAATGCTATGGTTTTCTAAATCAGTGTGATCCTGCCAGCAATTCTTGGAACTTGTGAAAAACACAAATTTCAGGCCCCTCTCACAACCTGAGGCTGGGGATGGGGCCAGCCGTCTGTAGGAGGCTGCTCAGCTCTGCTGGAGGCTGCTGAGGCCACAGGAGGTCCAGGCCCCAGTTCATTGTTCCCGTAGTTTCCTTTGGCTGCTGTGATGGATTGGGGTGGTCTTGCTGGCGTTGGGCTGTGTTTACCAACTGAAGTTTGTTTCCCCTGGCAGGTCAGCTTAGACTCCCGGGTCCGGGAAGTCATCGACAGGAACATGGGGGAGCCGTCCCAGCACGTGTTCGATGACGCTCAGCTTCAGATTTACACCCTGATGCACAGGGACTCATACCCCCGCTTCATGAACTCTGCTCTCTACAAGGATTTGCTTCAGTCCTTATCTGAGAAATCAGTTGAAGCATAGGATTTTTCAAATATATTTATTATTAATGAAATAATAAAAGAGCTCACAGGCTGCATCTAGCACGGGGAGCTTAGGTAGCGACGTCTTCTGCCTGAGTAACACTCGGCTGTGTTAATAACAGAGGTTTCCTGCCACAGATAGCCATATACCCAGAACGGAAACTGTAGCCACCTTTAGTCATACTCTGGGGGGATGGGCCTGGCTGTCTTAGAAAGATAGTGTATTTACATTTACAGCAACAGTAGCACGTGTCCGGGGCAGAGGAGGCGCTAGAAGACCCCATACCACTGCTGCAGCGCCACAGCCACAGAGCAGACGGGACTTCTCTCCTGCATGAGTTCAGAGACACACTCCTTCCCCACCTTCCATCCCCTCAGAATGACACTCAGATGTCTCCCACCTCCCCTTCCTTCAGGCTCATTTTGAATGCTTCCCTTATCAGTGCCATCACAGCACTCAAAATCACATTTCATAAGGGTGTGAACACTACTTGTAATGGTGGCATTCCACTTTATCAGAGTGTGTGTGTGTGGGGGGGGGGTGTACATACTTATGTGTGCACGTGGATCTCTCTACATGGTTCATGGACAGCACTGTGGTCTTAAGTGGATCGGCCTGGAAGGTTTAGTAAGAGAAGCTTAGAAAACTCTCTTGTTTGCAAGAAGTTACTGTTAACTTTATTATCAGAATGTGTTACCCTAAAACAATGACCTTTTAAGTTCACAACAAAACATTCAAATAAGCCTATTTCTACTTTTACTATTGAAAGAAATATGGGCATTTTCACTCTTAATAAAGCACAAGAATTTTACCTCAATCTTTATGTTTCTCATGTAGAAATATTTGGGCAGTGGGAGAGTAAGTAAGTGGGGATGCCTGCAGTGCATCCTCCAGCTCCCAGGCGAGGATTCTGTCTTTGGATGCCACCATTTTTATCATAGGTAAATGGAAGAACTTCAGAGCTTACAGGTAAAAGTACTGGTAGACCTAAACCATCCTGAAGAAATTCATCTCTACAATGAATGAAAAAGTCAAAATCTGGAGTGGCATCAGTGGGCTGGAAGTTACTTTGCAGGAGCCTCCTGTGGGGTGGCTGTCCTTTCTCCCAGTCACGCCTTACCTGCCCCCACAGCAGCCTCCCTGTATCTTCATGACTCACCTCAAGCCCCAACCTGAGTTCTCAGTAAACCATCTTACCTCCTACTTTACTGATGAAAATTGTGTCCCTGACCCACCCCCCCAACTTCCCACGTAAGCTACAAATACAGTCTACAGATCAGCGTCTCTCCTCACCTCCTTCAGGCCAGACCCAGAAAATGAAGTCTTCTCGCCTCCCTGTCAAGGTGTGAATCTCTGGCAGGTGCTATTGAATCCATAGCTCCCAATCTCATTTTTTCACTAAACAAAGAGAACATAATTGCAAGTAAGACATAAGCCCTATCTCCTAATAGTTCACAGTCAATTAAGGGAGACAGACATATCAATGGCAATGATAAAATAGGGCAGTGGGTCCTGCAAGGGAAGAGTGGGGCTGTGGCAGTCCTGGAGGATCACGAGATTTTGGAAGGACGGCACCAAAGGCAAAGCTGCTAGACAAGAAGAAGGTGTAAGTGTGGGGCAGGGCGGGCACAGGAGGGAGGCTGCGTAATTGAAGCCATCCCAAATAGTCCAGTTAGGGACCCACTAAGTGTGAGGCGACTGTAGGACATACATGTAAAATGGAGATGTTGAGAAGTGAGGTGGCTGGAGGGACCCTGGCCAGTGAGAGCCTGGAACCCATCCGGGATTTTTCAGCACAGAGACTTAGAGCATGGAAAGGGCTGAAGATAAATCTGTACAAAGATGGACAGGAAAACAAGAGGCTCAAAGGAGATTGAGAAGAATTCACCTTCTCAATACGGGTAGGGGGAAAGTCAGGGAACATGTGGATACGGAAGCAGATGACCAGGAGCATTTGCAGGGGAGGCGGCCAGCAATGGGGAACCAAAGCTCTCCCCACACTCCCCACTCCACTGTCAGCTTCACCAGTGGACAACAGATGGCAGTGGGCGATGGCAGCTCCTCCATCCTCCCTTCCCATCACACTGGTGTCCCCATTCTTCATCTCCCTGTTCACCCCTCCAACCGCGACGGTGCCTCCGCTGCTCTGTGCAGTCCCTGGGATGCTGTGCTCCCAGCCTCACTCCAGGGGCTGCTCAGCTTCCCGAGCGACAGTGTGGACAGCCCCTGACTTGCAAGGATGCTTCCTGTTCTCTGAAGTGCTTTCTGCCCCTCCATCCCTCTAGTCTCTCCCGGTTCCCTCCTAGCCAGCAGAGCACAGCAGCCAAAGGTTTGGGCTGGTCCAGATGTATATCCAGCTCGACCTTCTGACTTCCCTGTGTGGGTATTATCATGGATAAAAGGGAGAATACCAGGGGTACTTTGTAGTGTTGCTGACGATTGAAACTACTCCCCGTGAGATCCAGTAGCATTTACTATGTTAGTTATCATGATGGCTCCCAAGGTGTGGGCTTCAGATTATTTTTTATACCAGTCTATGTGCTCTCCCATGGTTCTCAAATCCCCTTCTCACTATTTAAAATACCTACCAATTCACAGTATGGAGATTCCTCAGAAACTGAAAAATAGGGCCAGGCACAGTGGCTCACGCCTGTAATCTCAGCACTCTGGGAGGCCAAAGTAGGTGGACTGCCTGAGCCAGAGTGAGACCCCCATCTCTAAAAAACTAGCCAGGCGTTGTGGTGGCCACCTGTGGTCCCAGCCACTCAGGAGGCTGAGGCAAGAGGATCACTTGAGCTTAAGAGGTTGCTGTGAGCTATGACACCTCAGCACTCTACTCAGGGTGACAGAGTAAGACTATCGCAACCCCTCGGGCCCCTGTGGCCCTTTTCTCGATCACAGCAGAAAGGAACCAGGAGTGACTCGGATTAGAAGTACAAGCTTGTAGGAGACAGGCTAGCCCTTCTTAGCAGGGCAGCCCCAAACAACCTCGCACTGGCCTTTTATTGAGACAGAACAATATAGGTGAGGGGAGTAATTAACAATGACTACCTGCTAAAGGCTGGGGCTCTTTCTTCACAAGGAGCACCTGTGGATGAACGGCCCGAGGGTCCACCCCTCAGCTCCAGATCATCTTGCTCAGAGGTTGTCTGACTCTTGGTGTCCCCTACGTAAGACTCTGTCTCAAAATAAAAAATTTTTTAAAGCCCTAAAAATAGAACTACCATATTACCCAGCAACCCCACTGCAGGGGACATACCCAAAAGGAAGGAAATGAGTACGTCGATTGCTGTACTGCCATGTCTGTCACAGGGACAGTCACAGCGGCAAGATCTGAATCAACTAAGTGTCCCTCAGTAGCTGAATGGGTAAAGGAAATGTGGTCCATGGACATGGTGGAATATAATCCAGCCATAAAAAGGAGTGAAACCCATTGGCAACAACATGGATGGAACCGGAGAACATTATGTTAGTGAAATAAGCCAAGCACAGAAAGACAAATTTCACACGTTCTCACTCAATTAAAACCAGTGATCTCGTGGAGACAGAGGGTAGAATGATGGTTACCACAAGCTGGGAAGGGTAGCAGGGGTGGGGGAAGGAAATGGTTAATGGGGACAGAAATATACTCAGAATGGCCAAGATATAATATTTGATAGCACAACAGGGTAACTAGTTATCAATAAGTTATTTTATATTTTAAAATAACTAAAATAGTGGAATTGGAATGTTCTTAACAAGGAGAAATGATCAATCCTCGAGGTGACAGATATATCCGATTTGATTATGACACACTTTGTGCCTGTATCAAAATGTCACATGCACTCCATAAATATGTACCCATAAGAAATAAAAATTAAAACAGACACAAATCAAATACTGCAAAAAAAAATCACATGTAACTTTTTTTTTAATTAAGAGAGTTTAAACAAATTTGACTTCATGAGCAAAGCAAAGGACACATCATTACCATAAGGCTTTATTGATTCAGAAGTATTTGCTACCCAACATAAGTCACTGTGTAAACTAAAAAGTAAAAATAAACAAAATACCTGCCAATATACTGATGGACACCAAACTGGGGTCTAGTCTAGACGCTCCCCTGAGCTTGAGAACAGCAGCCAGAGGCATACCCTGTCGATGAGTGAAACGCCACATCTTGATTCTGACTCATCACCCACTGCCCCACCCCAGCCTGGCCCTGCCAGCATCCCCCAGACCCAGCCAGTCACCTAAGCTCTCATGGGGTGTTAACGTCCACCCCGCCCCTGCTCCTCCCAAACATAATCGTCCAGCCTTGCCAGCATTGCCACCATCAGCTTATTCAAGTGCATCCTCCAGCCAGCCATTGGTGAGCTTTCTCACACCCTAATCTGCTTGTCACTATCCCACTGTGCCTTAAAATCTTTTAGTAGTTCCCAGTTGCCTGGAGTACAAATATCAAGGTCTTGGCTCAGCGCATACAAGGGCCTCTGTAGTCAGACTACTGGCTCCCTGGCCAGCCCCCCCTTTGTTTTATTTATATACTTATTTAAAGCTTTTTAAAAATAAATTGTGTGTTTCAACGTAACATGAGAACTTGATGCTACATAAGGTAGCAAAAGTGAAGACTCTTGGTCTTTGTGTATAAACACTGAATAACAGTTACACTTGCATTCAACTTTACAAGAAATTGTTTTCAGGCCCACAAAGATTCACACAGCCGAGACGTGAGTGCTGAACTAGCAGTAGACAGTGAAAACCCAGTAACTGAGCTGCACTCCAAAGCCATACTGGGGGCGGGGGGAATGTGGCAATGGTAGTAGGGCTGGCTTTTGGAACAAAAAACCCATGTCTTTTAGTCTTAGTGAAAATATAGTATACGTCAAAATTATAGACTACCTGTAGCAATGGGGCCGTAAGGAGACACACACACTGGAACGGGAAGCAGTGAACACGTGTCCACCTGTTTTGAGATGGATCTAAATCCTGCAGCCGGTCCATCTCCACACACGAAGCTC